GGTGGGGGGGGGTAAAGGGGTTGGCACAAATAACTAGTCTCAGAGGCTTTTGCTTTTGTTTTTAAATCAGGAGAACACATAGGTGGAGGAGGTGCTCAGCCAGAGGGAGTCTTCCCAGAGGAAGTGACAAGGAGCCAGGGTAGAGCAGTTCCAGAATTGTCTGTGACACAGGGCTGGGGGGTGGGGGAGACAGGACACCCTAGGCACCCGAGAGGCCACTATGCCTGGCTGGTGGTGACGAAGAACAGCCTGGGGTAAGGGAGGTGACCTGGGGCGGGGTGAGTTTAGTCCCTGCCCTGCAAGAAGTATGCTGCACTGCGTGGCATGCAGGGTCTCAAGTTCCCCCTGACCAGGGATCGAACTGTACCCCCTGCAGTGGAAGCGTGGAGTCCTAAACACTGGACCACCAGGGAAGTCCCTGGTTTGCGTTTTAAAAGGCTTCCCTGGCTCCACATGGACAGACACTGGGAAGCAGCAAGGGGTCCAGAGAGAGGGCAGACAGCAGCCAGAAACGGGTGGCTGCAACACTGAGGTGGGGTGGACAAGCCCTGGGGACTGAGTGGTTGTCAGTCTCTCTCTTGCAGAGAGGGAGCTTGTCAGTGGGGCTCCTGGCTATAACCCCAGCCCAGAGTAGGTTATCAATACTGGGGGACGGGCTTGGGGGAGCTGAGGCCCAGGATTGGGACTGGATGGATTCGGGGGGGACCCTGCATGAAAGATCTCTGGTTGGAGGTCCTCAGAGATCCAGCCCAAGCCCCCAGGCTGTCGTACAGAGGAGAAGATGGGGCACTCTGTAAATGGTGACATAGCTGAGCTGTGGCTGCGCCCCGTCACCCCGGCTCAGGGCTGCAGCAGGCTAGTGGCCGGAGTCCTGTGGTCGGAGGAGCAGGGCCTGGCCGCAGAGGCCGGCCCGCACCCCACCGACGGGCACCACGTACGCCCGGCCATCGGCGGCCCGAGAGGGAGAGAAGTCCGTCAGCTGCAGGTTGCTGTCCCGGACTTGGTCGTAGTCCCACAGCTGGTAGTGCCAACTCTTGCCCTGCTTGGCGAGAAGGTAGACGGCTCCTGGGGAGCCTTCCTCTGGCAGGGATGGTGGCTGGCGGGGCGTGCCGGGTGCTGGGTGGAACAGGCCTGGCAGCTCAGGGTCCTCCTCGTAGCCGAGGCTGGGCATACCCTGCACACCCAGCAGGACTCCTGGGAGGAGAGAGGGGGGCTGTGAGTGGGAGCTGAGCCCTGACGAGGGGCTGGGGCTCCCTGAGTCCCACCACAGCCCTCCAGGGTAGGTGCCGCCTCCATCCCCACACTGTCACAGAGAGGTCAGCACGGCCAGCAGGCAGACAGCTGGGCCGGGATTTAGACCCATGGTGTTGGGCTCTAGAGCTGCAGGCATTTTAAGTCCGGCCTCCAACAGCCTGTCAGCACAGGGAGGTGCCAAGGCAGCACTGAACAGTGCAAACATCGTCAACTAGTTGTCACCAGCTGTCCAGAAGAGCAATGCTCAGAGAGGCATGCACATACGGGAGCCTCCATCCAGGCCACCTGACGTGCAACTCTGGCCTTCTCTCAGGCAGGTGGAAAGACGAGCATGCTGACTGTAGCTAACACTTAACTGAGACATGTAACGTACCAGGCACCATTCAAAGAGTTTTACGTCTTCTGCCTATGATGTGGGTGCTACTTTTGCCTTGATCTCCAGATACAGGGCAATGGAGGCCCAGAGTCACAGAGCCTAGAAGTGGCTGGACCAAGTCTGCAGCCCAGACTGTCTGATCCTTGTCTGCGCTCTGAGTTTCTGTTTGTGGAAAACCCTGATTGGCGGACACTGAAGTACCTGTTGCTGGCCAGGTCCCTGCTAAGCACCCTGTAGAGACAGGGGCGGCCCAACCCTGGTTCCTGCCCTGGGTCGTGGGGAGGTGCCAGTGTGAGGGTAAGAATGTGAGAAGGGGAGACAGGGCTGGGGAGATCCAGGGTGAGGGCACAGGGCATGGGAGGGGGGACCCACCTGCACTCACTGCCCAGTGGGCCTTGTGGCCCTTCCTCTGACACGGCTCGTGGTTGAAGTCCTCGTCATAGCTGGCACTGGGGTTAAGGCCAAAGCTGTGGTGTGGCTCTGGGACCCACCCGTCTCCACCCCTGCCCTGCTGCTCCCTTCCTGGCCCTGGGATACGGGATAAGCAGGGGATGTCCGGCGACAAGGTGCTGCAGGACGTGGTCTCTGTTGGGACCACCCAGGCCGCCGTAGAGCACCTCTGCCTGGCAGCCCAGTGCCTCTTGGGCGAGCCTGCCCATGTCAGTCACTGCAGGGACAGAGCAGACACAGAAAGAGCGAGCGCTGTGTGCCTGGCACCATGCCAAAAGCTTTCAGGAATCAACGCCTCTCAACGCTTTGACCATCACCTCTTTGAACGAATGCAGAAAATGAGGGTCAGAGAGGGTCAGCTGCTTGTCCATGGCCACACAGTAGGAAATGGCAGAGCTGGGATGGAAACCCCAGGTGGCCTGGCTCCAGAGTCCACCCTGTGACACTCTGCTCTACTACGGGGGGACAAGGGCCCAAAGAATGGAACAAAGCTCCCTTATGTGCCCGGTGTGTCCTAGCCAAGCTCTCCAGTCCCCTCCGGTAGAACACCTGGCTTGAATCCCTTCCACACCCAACCTACCTGAGAACATCTCCCCCTGGGCCGTGTAACCTCTCTCCATGGCCACCTGCACCAGTCTCTCCAGGGGGGTGCCGCTGAGGGGCACCAGAAGAGTGCCTGCCATCCACAAGGCCACCAGCCCGCACCTGGGGAGACACAGGCCCAGCCCCCCAACCCCTAACTCGTGTCTTTCCTGGGCCCCCTCTCGCCTGGAAACTGGAGTGTGGGGAACAGGTTTGCCGCCCTGGCGGAATTCCCTTCTCCTCTCCCAGGCCAAGTGGGGAGACCTGACTCCCCGTCCTGGGACAGAGGCTGGCCAAGGCCTGAACCAGGGCTGGAGGGCTGGGGGTGTGGGTGGGAGGGTAGGGAGAGATGTCACCTGGGCTTCTAGGAGGAGCAGGTGCCAAGGTGGAGTCAGAGATAATGGACTAGGTTCGTTTGTTCACTTGCTTATTCGTTCCAACTGTTTACTGCGCATGCACCCAGGACCCTCACCTGGTAGGCTCCCCCTCTCCCTCCCCTCCTCGGCCTCCTCCTTCTCCCCAGGCTGCCTGGCATGAACCCACTCTTCCCACACTCCTGGGTCAATCCTCACAAAGCCCGGCGAGGGCAGAGGCTCAGAACGCACGGCCGGCCAAGGGGTTGGGGTCCCGGATTAGGGCACGTACTGAGGGCCTTCTTGGATGAGGGAGGGCAGGTCAGCACAGAAGAGGATCCACTGCAGGTCACTTCTGAAACTGAATCACAGTTGCATTCAGGTCATGCGGCAACCAGCTCCTAGGGTCCCCCCATCGAGGGCTGGCTGGGAGTGGGGTGTCAGGGATGGTGAAGGGGAGGAGCATGGGTCCAGCTGTCCTGAGGCCCGAGGGCCGCTCTTGGCTGGGTCCGACTTCCTTCATCCCTGTTGAGACTCCTCCCCTCCCCAGCCTCAGTTTCCTCATCTGCTCAGTGGGAATCATCCTTCTGCCTGCTGCTCCCTGCTCTTTCTCTCAGTTACTGAAGGGGCAAAGAGCAGATGTGCAAAAGCTTTGCAACTAGGAGCCAGAGGGATTAAATTATTAGAAGGGGTGTCTCTACACCATGGATGAAAAAATTAATCAATAGTCAATCTAAGAAAGAAAGAGAAAATTTTATTCGAGCCAACCTGAGGATTACAACCTGGGAGACAGTCTCTCAGAAAGCTCTGAGGACTGTTCCGCCTGTGAGAGATCAAAACACAGTTATATATGTTTTTTTGAGACAAAGGGTTGGTTATATGTCAAATGACACATTATTGACAGTTTACTCAATCCAGATCTACAAGTACAAAGCAAGTTATGGGTCATGGGTCATTGCGATCCCTTAACAAAGTTAAGAAGGAAAGCTGTCTCCTAAGGAGTTGTGACCCTTGATGAGATCAAGAAGAAATGGTATCCCCTAAGGAGGTCTGGTTAATGCAAACGCACAATACACGCTAAATGGGAGGGAGGAGGCCCCAGTGGGCAAAGAAAAATTTCATGTTTAAAATTCTCTCGTCTTGCCATAAAATATGAATTTTATTATATCAATACCCAAACTCTGAATGTTTTTCCCCTCTCAAACCTGTTTTTCAGGCAGGCAGATAAGGTGGGAATCCCTTCCACTCAGCCTTGAGCAAAACCAGGTAACAACTGCTCCAGGCCTAAGAGATCACCTTGATAGACTCCTCACAGGCTTCACCAGCCCCATTCTTGGGGAGGCCACTCAGAATATTTTGGTGATCCCAACCCCTCCCCACTTTCCCCCACCAGGGCTCAGGAGGTGCCGGGAAATGTGCTTATATTTCTATCCCAAAGCCAGTGAAAGAGTAAGGCTGAGGGGGGCACCTTCCTGATGAAAGGAGATGATTATTCGCACAGTGGTTCAAAGCAGGGAGCCCCAGTGCCATGCCCTTCCTCTCCTAAGCACCGTGGCTAAGTGACTTCACCTCTATGAGCCTCAGTTTCCTCATGTGGAAAATGGGATAATAATAGTTCCTATCTCGCAGGGGGAGGGATAAATTAGGAGTTTGGAATTAACAGATGCACACTACTGTCTATAAAATAAGACCTACTAGACAACAAGGATCTACTGTATAGCACAGGGAACTATATAGTCAATATTTTGTAATAACCTATGAGGGAGAAGAATCTGAAAAAGAATATATACAGATGTGTATGTGTATGTTTTTACATATATCTATATCTGAATCACTGTGCTGCATACCTGAAACTAACAGGACATTGTAAATCAATTATACTTCAATTTAAAAAAAAACAGTTCCTGTCTCATGGAATGGCTGAGGTTAAATTAATAAGTAAAAACACTTAGAACAGCACCTGGCATACGACAGGTAGTTGTTACTTGCATTAAATTTGCCTCATTATGGGGGAATTCCCCAGCGGTCCAGTGGTTAGGACTCTGCACTTCCATTGCAAGGGGCACAGGTTCGATCTCTGGGCAGGAATTAAGATCCTGCAAGCTGCGCAGCACAGCCAAAACAAAAAACAAACAAAAAATTTGCTTCACTATGGTTGGGGTGTTTAGTGCAGATTATAAACTTGTCTAGAGAGCTGGAAGTTTCTTCGGTGAGTCTGGGCAGGTCACTTGTCTCTCTTCCCTTCAGCCCCAGCCCAAGCCTAGCCCCCTCCCCTCCTGCCTGATCTCCTGGTGCTCCAGCTTCCTCCTGGGCCCCTAAACTCCCATCTCACCACTCTACTCCTCGAAGGCAGTCTCTCTCCCTCCCTGGAAGGGCACAGATCCATTCCAGAGCTCCCCAGCGCCCTCAGGACAGTCCACCTTCCTTCACACGCCTGCCCCCCCATGCCCTGTGTGGTCTGCTCCTGACCACCTGGGAAACCCCACATGTGCCACCTCCTCTGTCCCAATAAAGAAATATTTGCAGGTCCTTGAAAAAAACATCTTTTCATGTCACTCTGGGCCTGGGCACAAGCTGTTTACTCTTCTCATCATTGCTCGACAGCACTCAGGGATCCCCTCCTTCAGGCAGGCCCCACTGACCCCCCAGCCTCGGTCGGGCACTCCCTCTGGGCTCCCTCCTCACGGCTCTGACCACTCTGGGCTGTCACTGGTGGAGGGAGGGATCTGTCTCTCCCACTGGACGAGGTGCTCTTGTGAGGGCAGCTTTCCTCCTTGCTGAAGACACACCGCCACTGAAGGGGTCTAAGGAAGGGGGCTGAAGCAGTCAGACTGTTTGACCTAGAGGAAATGGGAAACCCCAAGAGGAGATGGCAGCAGTGATCTGGGGACAAGTGGTTGGGTGAGACCCTGGGTGGGTGGGTGGGAAGGGGCATGGGGACCCTACCGGTCCTTGTGCAGCTTCAGGAGCCTCTTCACGTCCTCTCTGCTCCTGGGGACTGGGCTGGCCCTCTCCAAGGCCTCCTTCAGGAGCTGGCTCTTCTCCAAACCGAAGACGTGAGGGAGAGAAAACCTGGTGGTAGGGGGTGGAGGCGGCAGTGGGGGTGGTGGGGGAATAGGGGTCTGGAGACTTGAGGGAGAAGGTGGAAAAGCTAATTCCGGGAGATTTGGGGGTAGGGGAGGAGGTGGAATTATGGGGGCCTGGGATGCAGGGGTTTGGGGAGGAGGAATTGGTGGCTCTAAAGAAGGAGAGCATGGAGAAATCATTTTGGGGCCTATGACTTGGGTTGCAAGATCGAGAATGAGAGAGGGAAGGATCCTCCAAAATGTGCTGGTCGCAGGGATGGAGATTTTGAAGGTTTTAGAACTGAGTTCCAGATTTTGGGGCCTGAGCAGTGGGACTGAAAACACCAGGGCTAAAATCTGGAACCTTGGGAACTGGGATTGAGGCTGACTTAAACCACAAGGAATCTGAGGGTTAACGGGGTCCTTTAATGTGGAACCAGATTTGTGGTATAAGTTGGGATGCAGGGCTCAAGGAGTGACACTTAGTAGGAGTTAACTTCTTATCCCTGGCTAGATTAGGAAACCTGGTGTTCAATTTCAGGACATGAAAGCGCAGACCTGGGACGAGGCATCCAAAGCGTGGGATTTAGGGCCTCAGTGCTAAAGACTTGGGGAATTTAGAATAGATCGCCCCTTCGCATCCCAGACCCGAGTTTGGAACCTTAGAGCTGACCTTTGAGTCAGAGGTCAAGAGATCAAAAGGACACCTGGCAGGGAAAACAGCCTAGTTGTGGAGAAAGTCCTGAAATCAGAGCGCAACAGGAAGAGTCTTGTGGGTAGAGGAAGGCTCATAGATAGGAGGCCGTGGGGAGCCGCGATTCCGCTGGGATAGGGTACGGAGTCGGGAAGTAAGACGCGCCTCCCCTTCCAGCAAAATGGCGGCCGCAGCGAACAACCGCTCACAAACCCGGAGGTAAAATTCGCAACTCGTGTCCGCCTCTTTAACAATCACGTGACAGAGAACGCGTAGCGGCTGGGGAGAGGTGGGGCTTCCAAAGAGAGGCCTCCGAAGAGACGGCCGCAAGAACCGTGTTCCGATTGGCAAGAAGCGCGAGAGGGGGCGCGGCCTTCACTGATTGGTCCGTAGCCCCGAGTGCCGCAAAAGGAGGAGGGCTTGCAGGCGGTGGGCGGAGTTTTCCTGCCGAGGCGGGAACCCAAGTGTCGTTTTGATTGGCAAAATCTGAACCCAGGATTATGATTGGCCAAGCTACCAGGTTTCCGCGCAGCGATTGGCTTGTAGAAAAGCAAAGGCGGGACCAGGAGAGGAAGTTTTGTGGTCGGCGCTCAGCAACGTAGCAGAAGCCACTTGCGGGAGCTGAGACTCTTTCGGTGAGTATCCTTGGGCGCAGGCGGCCATGGGCGCCTGGCGGGTGGAGGGCTTGGCGCCCGGGTCTTCCCGCGCCTTGTGTTGGGGAATTCTTTTCCTGCTGCTCGAGACCAGGGCTCTGCAAAGTCGTGCCTCCCTCCTTAACTGCCTCTACATCCGGGCTTTTTCTCCTGGACCGCCTTTGAGGTCGTGGGCCAGTGGGAATCGCCACCTAGGACACTCGCCTACTGAGTCGCGTAGAGCATCCTGGGACTCGTAGTAAACCTCACGAGATTTCCCTCACCACGCGGGGAGGAGAAGCGGTGTCCTGCGTTTGCTTTGTTTTTCGAGCTGTTCTTCCCTCTTCCCTTCTCTCTGCTTTACCTCACTTCCTCTTGAAAGGAAGATCCCTAAACAGCCCGCGTTGGGACGAAGGATTTGCAGAAACCCAGGGCTGAGTGGGACTTCTTAATTCTTTCAGCCCTACCTCAGCAACTCACTCCATGGCAGTTCCCGAGACCCGCCCCAACCACACTATTTATATCAACAACCTCAACGAGAAGATCAAGAAGGATGGTGAGTTCTTGGGATAGTCCGGACTCCAGGCTATCCCGCAAGAGCCGGCCCCCTCTTCTGTCCCCAGCATCCTGTCTCTTCCTCAGCCTTGTCCACTCAAACTGAGAGTTAACCCCTCGGCCTTTGCACATGCTGCTTCCTCTGCCTTTAACATTTCCTCAGTTCATCTTACCCATCTGCCCATTAACCTGGTCACATGAGTAACATGCTTCAAGGTTTCAGCTCACAGGACCCCTCCTCCAGGATGCCTTCCCCCTCCCTTTTCCACCCACGTGCCTGCCTCTGACTTCCCATAACCCTGGACATCCCCCTTCAAGCCCTGATTGTTCTGGGCTGTCATGGGGCTGTCCCTTCTGGCCTGTGAGTTCCAGGAGGGTAAGAACTGCAACTGTCTTGGTCAGTGATTAGCCCACAATGAAATGTTTCATTTCAAAATGAAAATGAAATGAACAATAATGATGGCTAACACTCGGTACCAGGTGCTGATGTAAATACAAATCTTGGTTACTTTTAACTTGCACAGCAACCCTGCAGGAAGGACCTATTCTTCCCATTTCTCGGATTAGGAAACTGAGACTCAGGAGTGATATGATTTGCCCAGCGTCACACAGCACTGAAAAGTGGTTGACGCCACCAGTATGGAATTCTGCTTAAGAACTCAATTCTTGACATCAGACATACTTTTCCATGTTCTTGAGCAAGTTACCACTTTTTGTTGACACTCATTTTCTATATAGGAAGACTGGGCAAAGTCATATCTTCTCTGTGTGGGTGTTATGGGGATTATATTAGATAAACTCCCATTCAGCCATTCAGCTTCTTTTTATGGTGCTCAGTGGTTAGTAAGTGCTGGATAAGTGTTAGCTCTTATTATTGCCTCAAGAAAATTATTAGGAGAACCAAAGGAGCTCGCTGGGATTAAGTTTGATGTTACCAATAAAGTTGCTGTTGAAGGTAATAAAACGAGCCACGTAAATCCCTCATATACTTTTATTTTTTTTTTATTTTTATTTATTTATTTTTTTAATTTTATTTTATTATTTATTTTTGGCTGTGTTGGGTCTTCGTTTCTGTGCGAGGGCTTTCTCTAGTTGTGGCAAGTGGGGGCCACTCTTCATCGCGGTGCGCGGGCCTCTCACTGTCTCGGCCTCTCTTGTTGCGGAGCACAGGCTCCAGACGCGCAGGCTCAGCAGTTGTGGCTCACGGGCCCAGCTGCTCCGTGGCATGTGGGATCTTCCCAGACCAGGGCTCGAACCCGTATCCCCTGCATTGGCAGGCAGATTCTCAACCACTGCGCCATCAGGGAAGCCCTCCCTCATATACTTTTAGAACGTTGTGCCCAGCCAGTGCTTTGTGGAGCTGGGGACACACTGGTGACTGGACAGTCCTGCTCCTAGCTTCATGGAGCCACAGCCCAATAGGGATGACAGACCTGCTACCAGACAGTGATATCCCAGAGTAGCTAGGGCCATGATTGGGGAAGCACAGGCAGAGTTGTCAGGGTTGAGATGGGGCACCTAGAAAGAGGTATACATTTAGTTTCATAGAAAAGGAGACATTTTGGAAAAGCCTAACAGGTAGAAGAAGCAGGATTTATGTTATTATTTGTGTTATGATGTGGGGGAAGAGAGTTCTTAACCTGGACCAGCATGTGCAAATATCCAGGGGCAAAAGAGAGCCCAGGGCATTCTGGGAACTACATGTACTGTAGTTTTGTGTGTCTGAGACGTAGAGGCCTATGACTCGTGGAAAACGGTGCACTCTGGCTCATGGGGCCTTGTGGGCTGGGTGAGGTGTTGGACTTTGTCCTGAGGGCTTTGGGGAGCCAGGCAAGGGATGCAATTAATTGTGAAAGATCTTTCCAGCTGTGGAGGGTGAACTTGAGTGGGTAAGAAAGGAGACTGGGGAGAGGCCCAGAGTCCAGCAGAATGACTAAAGCCCAAACTGGGTTCATGGGGATGGGGAGTGGAGACAAAGCCCAGAAATGTCATCAGAATTTTTGGCTATTTGCTTCCCTCTTTACCCTGCCCCGCCTTTTCTTTCCTCTCCTATATTTCTTTGACCAAACATCTTAAGCTCAGATACCTTCTTTGCATAAGACTGGTATCCTTTTCTTGCTGTCAGGTGTGGCAGTTTGCTAGTGAGGTATGGTGGTTCTGGGTTCGGATGGGCTTGGCTCCTTGTCCCTGTCCTGGTCCTGGCTCTTCAGGGTCTTCCCAGCACCCTTGGGACACTCCTGCGCCAGTGACAGATCCTCTGAGAGCTTCTATCCATGTTAGTAAAATTGAGACAGTTATAACTGCTGCTTCATGGAGTAGTTGTAAGAATTTAGTGAAGTTATTTCCATAAATCATTTAGTGGTACCTTTATTCATGCAAATGCTTTTGGAGGTTTGTGTGCTGGTGACCGTACTGCTCATGGGGATAAGGTGATAAATAAGAAGGCTTGTAGCTCTTCAGAAGGAGAGCTAAACAACAAGTAAACAAACATGATGTCAAGAGGTGGGAAATGCCATGAAGGAAGAGCAAGTAGGGTCCCAGGAGTGGGGGAGAGTGACATGAGAGGGCACTTATTCACACAGGGTGGTCAGGGAGTGCCTCAGGTGGCAGCATATCTGCTGAGCCCTGGTTGAATGGAAGGAGACCATGTACACATCAGAAAGATGCTCCTGGTAGAGGGAGCAGCCAATGCAAAGGTCCTGAGGCAGAGTTGCTGTGATGGGCCTGAGAAAGGGCAGGAAAGCCAGCGTGGCTGGAGCTATAGGAGTGAAGGTGGAGTGTGGGGAGAGATGAGGTGGTAGAAGTCAGCCAGGGCCACATCAGAGGGGGGTGTGTCCAGGTGCTGGAGACAATGAGACGAAGTGCTCGCATTTATCGAGCATTTACCGTGTGTCCTTTGTATGTGTGACTCACGTTCCTCGTACGTTGTGGGGTAGGTACTGTTACTGTTGATCTCTTCCAGAGGAGTGCACACGACCGCTCGAGTGGTTCTAGGCTGCTGCTGGTATTGCTCTGTACTCGTTGTCAGTGGACTGATGGTTTCCCTCCTGGGCCGCGTCTTCTCTGCAAAGGGGAGCTCGAGACGTAGGACGTGATACCAAGGCCTCCAGTCACCTATGGGTCTTTCCTCCCCCCACCGCAGAGCTGAAGAAGTCCCTGTACGCTATCTTCTCCCAGTTTGGCCAAATCCTGGATATCCTGGTATCACGAAGCCTGAAGATGAGGGGCCAGGCCTTTGTCATCTTCAAGGAGGTCAGCAGCGCCACCAATGCCCTGCGCTCCATGCAGGGTTTCCCCTTCTACGACAAGCCCATGGTGAG